GAATATTTTCCTCTTAATTTCAGAGGATTCCTTTTGAGGCCATATACAAGAATAAAATCCTCTAAAATTTAGCGGATTCTACTAATATTAAAATTATTTTTTTTTGGGTGATATATAATTATATAATTATAAATATAATTTTTTATTAGTTTTGATTATACATACAATAATATTTAACATAGTATTTATTTCTACATTAATAATGAAATATTTATCATCAGCAACCGCGAGGCACGTTTTGCAACTGACTACGCCGAAGGTAATAGTCTGCAGCGAGAAATCCGCGGATGTCATCTTGAGCGCGATAAAAGAGAAGAATTGCAATCCCGCGGTGGTCGTTTTTGGCAAGCATGCTGGCACGATTTCGTTTTCCGATGTCCTGAAAAACTGCAACGACGCGGAAGCGGCAAGTTTCCGCTACGCTGAACTTGACGATCCCAAGAAGACTGCGTGCATCGTGCACTCGTCGGGCACGACGGGGATGCCAAAGGGCGTCGAACTATCTAACTATACTATGTCACTCATCAGCGAAGACAACAACCTAGATATGACGAATGTGACAATGCTTTGGTTCTCATCTCTTTATTGGATCAGCGGAATAATGCTGAACGTAAAAGCAATCGCGCAGGGTGCCACAGTGATCCTCTATCCGGAATTCGACGAGGAGATGACTTGCAAATTGATTGAGAAATATAAAGTAATTTTATCTAGCAAAAATTTTTTTATCATACTTATGAAAAAACTATATTTATCGGATAATTAAAGTATAAGGTTTTCTGCTTTCAAAAACAAAACTGATATATGTATATTATCCTTCTGATATAAACTTCTTGCTGCAGATAATTCTTATCGGTGATAGTAATGATTTAGCTTCTGCTCTCTCGCGAATCCTATGATGAAATTGAATCAACTTCCTTCGAACAAATTGTAATATTTTTAATTTATATTATTAATTTATAATAATAGCCTATTAATTTTTTGTCAAAATTTGTTCGTTGTCTGACATAAATTTATGTGGAATGTGCTTTTATGTGCATTTATCTTGATTTTATTGTCAAAAAAAATCAACATTAATGGAAAATGTATTAAAATAATATTCTTAGTACCTTTTTATTATTTAAATTACATAATTTAAATTATGCAATTTAATTAATTATATGTGCATAATGTATATAAATCTAAAAAGATAATTTTTTTTCTTATTTAGGTAGCAATTCTTTTCCTTAGCACGAGTATGATAAATCGATTTGTCAGAGCAGGTTACGTAAAGAATTATTCATTACCATCTTTGAAAGCTATACTAGGCGGTGGTGCGATAATTAAGCCAAAAGTGCAGGAAGAACTAAGACGTTATTTACCGCACGTTCAGATATTGCAGGGTTATGGTAAATATCGTTATAATGCGATATAATATCAGTATGATGTTATGTATGTTCTAAAATTTTGATCGTATTCCTGGTGTTTCTAGGAATGACGGAACTGGGTGGTCTCATAACGTTGCAACTACCACATCACAAAAACGGATCTTGCGGGATAGTAGCCAACAATGTGCAAATAAAGGTCGTGGATCCTAAAAGTGGAAAAGTGCAGGTTGGTCCGAATCAGTCAGGAGAAATATGGATAAAATCTACAATGATGATGAATGGTTATTATAGAAATCCCGAGGCGACAAAAAGTACGATTGATGAAGAAGGTAAACGGATTATGATATAATAAGAATAATAAAATTAAAAAGGATTAATTATCAATTAATTAATTAACAAATGCAAATTAAATAAATTGAACCGAAAGAATGTAACTAATAGTACCATAAAGATCTAATATTATAAGTTTTGCATTTTATCAGGTTGGCTGCACTCCGGTGATATCGGTTATGTAGATGAAGATGGCGAATTGTTCATTATTGACAGGATAAAAGAGCTCATAAAGTATAGAGGATATCAGATCTCACCCGGAGAAATCGAGGGTGTCTTAATAATGCATCCAGCAGTGCTGGAAGTTGCTGTAATATCTATACCTCATGCAATAGACGACGAACATCCTCTTGCTTATGTCACCAAAAAGCCCGGCGCTAAGGTATAATTTTTTATTGCAATGTGATAAAGTCATAGAATGATAACTTATCAATTACCAATAGAATAATTGCAAATCGATTTTGCATTCTTCACATTCCATAGGATATTATTTTAAAACATAACTGAAGAATCATATTATTCATAGAAACAAAGACATTGTTATATCACGCGATTAAAACTATTAAAAATGTAAATAGAAAAATTAGCACACTAATTCAAATAGGATCGGAGCACGACGTTTCAGTATAAGTTTAAACAAGTGAGGATTTAATATAGCTGTGAAGAAAAGAGTTCAATCAAAATTTTAATATGAATACATTGTCTTTGCCAAGGCTTTTGCTTTATAATTGTATATAATAACAATGTTTAATATGAATAATATTAGCTTCTGAAATTTTAATATAAAATTCTCTCTTTTCTTAAATATAATGTCAAGATATTTTAATGTTTAAACCATAGAGCCATCAACACATCAATTTTTGTTTTTTTTTGTTTCAGATAAATATAATTGAATATTAATTTTGTTTTTCAAAAAGTATTATTTTTATACAGATATTTTTAACGTAGAAAGACAATATTTACTTTTTATATTTAAAAATACTTCCTGTTGCAAACGATTAATTTTTGATACAAAACTTTTACAGGAGACGGAGCAAGAATTGATAGACTTTGTGGCAAAGAATATGATGGATCATTATAAACTTCGCGCTGGAGTGATATTTTTAGATACGTTTCCGTACACAGGTTCAGGGAAAATTGCGAGGAAAGATTTAAAAGAAATGGCTAAAAAATTATTCAAGCACACTAGTTAATTGTAGCTTTTTAATAAATATATATATAGAGGTATGCTTCTTCCTAAAAAGTAGATATTAGACATGGAACAGATTGATACTTTTTTCTTCATAAAAGAATTATTAGATTGATGAAGATAATTTTTGAATTAAAATAAAAAACTTAGACTTAAGTTAAATTTTGAAATAGAATAAATCTAGTCTTTAAAATAAGTCTTAGAATAATTACGTATTATTTTTAATGTTGTTACGGGTGATGAAAATGTATTTTAGCAGACGTTTGTAATGCAGTTTTATCTGCATTTACTTAATGTTACAATAGCAGGATACATTGTATAACTATTTATTTAGTGAATACTGTATGTAAGTAAAACTTGATGAAAGTTATTTAATAATAAGTTTATGTTTTACATCGGTATTATTTATTTTATTCAAAATAAAGCTATGAATGGTTGGATATAAAAATCCATTATGATATTATATCAAAATCATGTATACATATATAATCAGTTTTAGAAATTTTTCGTATAACTTTGCCATTATAAACATAATTATGAAATACGAGAAAATTGCCAAGATATCTTCTCTTATCAGGATATTCTAAGAAGTAACAAAGGCAAATGTTATTATCGCGTATTTTGTAACCGAAAATGATAGGCAATAAATATTTCTGACGTAAGATATAAGATACACTTTCATGCATTTTATTCCGTTTCATGCATAATGCGCATGATGTATCATTTATCCTTGTTTAATATTCAGTGAATTACAAGGCTAAAATAATATATCATATGTATTATGCATGAAAACACTTATGATTCCACTGAATTTAGAGCACGTATGGTGATCACAAAGTTTATTATTGCACGTTGCATCTATTGTATTTTAATATTGAAATAATAGCTAATAATAGCTAATTAAATATAAGTTAAAATTTACAAAACCAAGATAAGTTCCCAAATATTATAGCAGATAATTGTGAATAAAATATTTATAATATTTACAATATTTTGACAAATAAAAATTCTGACCACCGCTCGTTGATTTAAATTAAAATAAAGCATAGACATACCAAAGACGAGCAAAATATTGATTCTTAATAATTGATAAATTTGTTTAATTCTGTATAAACAATACTAACGATACATGTTTCGACCTCTCATTTAGTCTGTTTTAGTTGTGATATCATACAATAACGTAACAAACATTCTCGAATCTTAATCATACAAATAAAATTTTGATAAATCTCAGACATATAAATTTCAATAAATTAAAATAGATACAATTTAAGAATTTATATAATATAATTAAAATTTCTAATTATCTTTCATATTTCTTACAATACAATCAGTCTTAGTTATATGTTCAATGTTAAGTGTTTTCAGTACTATTGTCTACCTGACCTCGATTTCGATGTACTTAATGCGATACCTTTTTCTGACAGAACTATTCCGTTGACTGATCTATGAATATCGCTCGCATATCATCCGAAATTTTAAATTAATATGATAACGCTACAAGAAATAAAATTATATTAAGAATAATTTTATTTTTCACAGCGTTATCATATTAATTTAAGATTTTGGAAGATACGCGAGTGATATTTATAGACAAGAAATAAAATTATTCTTAATATAATTTTACACCATCATTTACATAGTAATTTTCAAAGAGGCACTACAAAAATGAACTGACACTCTCAGTTGTTTGAAACTAAGTACTGAAATATAAGTAAGCGTAATGATACAGAGGTGACTATGCTAATGATATCTCCTTAATAACAATTTTAATAACTATGTTTTTGTTTGTGCAATGACAATAAACGAAATCGTTAAAAATTAATATTATTATTAAAAATTATTAATAATTATTTACATAATTATTAAAAATTCGCTGTAAAACTTTTTTTACCGTCAAAGATCTTATTGTTAGAGATTATTTCCATACTTGTACTTTTTGACACAAAACGCAGAAAGGACGAATAACAATTTTTAATCGTTTACATGCGTTAGTGTCGGTCCACAATAAGGATTTTAAGCCATAAGCAGTAAGAAATAAATCAATCGTAGTCGAATATGAGGAAAATAATTAATTGTAATTGGTCAATATCTTACGATGAAAGGCTTAAAAGCCTTAGTGTGAACCGACACTTATATGCGCTGCTCCTTCGAGTTGAAAGGAGCATTTCCGCACCTCGAATTTAAACAAACTATTTTTTTTCTCTCAGTGGTCTCAGATATTGTTCCCATTTGTACTTTTTAGCATAAATCCATAAAAGAATGGGCTGAGTGTAATCCTGTGTGAGTGTAATTGCTGTGCTTCCATAGCAATAACAATTCGTGGTCGTTATGATTTAAACTTTTTGTTAAGAAACAACCGTATTGCAGGATATGTCATACATAAACTAATAATTAATACTTCGCGCAGAAAGCTGTCAAGTAAACATTTATCAATAAAAATGTGAAAGTCAACTAATTAACAACTGTATTCTTTCGATTAAACAGAAATAATTAATATTACATATAGTGGCAGTAATCAATCGCATCAATTAATTGGAGTGTTACGAGAGTCGTTCGATAAATAAGATAAATTTTTGCGATATGGCGCAACAATGAACTGTGTAGTATATGGCCAGGAAGTAACATTCTTCAATAACTGCTTCATACCAAGTTTTAGCCAAAAGCGACGTTTAATTTACGTAAGGCAGACATTGGAAGTGAGCGTGGCAGCAGATGTCGTAAAAATGGATAAAAACGAATTTTGTGATTAAACATTTTTATTTAAAAAAGTGGACGGCTGCGCAAATCGTCCAACTCGGCTTTGATCTGCGTAGATGTCCACTTCTTTAAATAAAAATGTTAAATCACTGCACGAAATTCGTTTTTTTCCATTTTTATGACAATTGCTACCACGCTCACTTTCAACGTCTACCACACGTAAACTAACATAAGCGTTGCTTTTGACTGAAACTTGGTATGAGGCAGTTTGAAGAGTGATACTTCCTGGCTATATACTACACAGTTCATTGTAGCGTCATATCGTGAAAATTTATCTTATTTGTCGAACGACCCTTGTATATGCAAATTGAAGAAAATGAGTACTTAAAGCTTTACGTGTGGTTGTATAAAACAGCCAATTGTTATACATATTCATAGTAATGTGCGATTCTCTCGGATATATAGTCGAAGGATGAATGCTGGCATGTAAAACTGCATCAATTCGGGTAATGCTGGTGTGTTTGAATAAGAAATAATATTTGAATATCTGATATATATAATTACGAAGATTTATTTTACAAACATACATGACTTATTCTTATTAGTAAGATATATATTTTGAAATACGTATTATTTTTTATTTGCAAAATGAATTCAGTTTTGTATCGCACAATTATTTCATTATAAGCGTTTCAATGTTACATAATTTTCTTATCTTTACAAATAGAGAAAAATCATCAATCTTGACATAGGTCAATACTGATAAAAGCCTTCTAAAGAGACAATCACTTATTCGTTAAAAACTAAACGTTATTATGCACTTTATTAATAATGATGAGAACATGATTTAGATAATTATAAAGAGGTAAAAAGTCGTATATATATTTGTGACTTGTACCTACATAAAATGAAATGAAAACAAATTTTGAAAATAACACTTTTATGATTTTCCTTTGCAAATTATGTAGTTTAAACAATATTAGATATATTGTTGTTAATATTAGATTGTGTTACATAATTTCCTAAAACTGTTTTATTTATATTTTTCTCTTTCTTTTACTTTTTTTTATTTTTTACAGTTTTGGCTCGTTCATTTTGTCACGTTCATTTTTACTTACAAAAATGTTAAATATTATAAATATTACATAATTCCAAATAGTATAAAACATTGCTATATTAATTTGCTATATTAACATTGTTGATAGAAGATGCTTTTTGGTTTGTATTTATGTTTTTAAAGTTTTAGTTTTAGCTTTTGTTTAAGAAATATAATTTAAAAACAAAGTTAAGACGTTATCGATGATCTTCTATTACAATAACCGAAATGCAAAATCTTAATCCATATTTTTAACAGATACGAACAAAATTTTAATTTTAGTACTTGATAGAAAAACGTAAAAATTAAATTTTATTACAAGAACTTATTAAATAAAGAATGTTATGTAATTAGCTTTGTTATGAAATTATGACACAGGAAATGTATCAAATGATAACATAAAAAATAAATCCAGTTATCTATTTTAAACATTTTCTAAGATAAGAAAAAAACTAAAAAATAATAAGTATTGATTTATGACCTGACCTACTACAAATGACGCAACAAAGTTGATTTGCGCAATTCATGCAGGTTTGTAAGGTAGGGGTATCATAGATATCTAGAGATACATACGCAACAAATAGTCAGTAAATGCTTGCAGTCAGCTTTCATCAATGGTCACAAGTGCATTGTTAGTCATTTGTCCGTTGAATTCATAGGAAAGAATTATTTTCGCGTAGTGAAGAAACTCTTTCGTCCACCAGACACAGAATTTTGTTTGTTGCAATTGACGTTATCGATAATTCATCAAATTTCAGTATTTTTTCTCATTCGACACTTGTTTACTCTGATTTGCAAGCAAAGGTAGGTATTGTGCACTTTGTATAAATTTCAAACTTCTTTTATATGTAAACGTGATATTCTGTCATGTATTTATCTGATTGTTTATGTATTGTTTATATAATAATTCATTAAATTTGGCAGCCATGTGTATGTAGGCTTTTTAGCAGTTACTTTTTACTGCCTATTTTTGTTTACGAGTACTTTCTAAATATTTTAGTTTATCTCTATTCTTGTACGTACAGATATATTTTTCATAATCGACAGGTAAAATAAATGACAACATTAAAATATTATTTTTTCATTGTTGCTTAAAAAGAAAGAATATCAAAGTTCGAAATTTTGTATCGTTATAGTATTTTATTTCATCACAATAAGTCAGTTCTTACTTTCATCTTACATAATTGTCACACAAAATAAATGACAATATTAAAACATTACTTTTTTTTTTAAAGAGAAAATATCGAAGTTTGAAATTTTGTATCGTTGTTATTTTATTTCATCACAATCAGTTCTTACTTGCAATCGCTCTTGAGGTCAACTGTTAGGACAATAAAAGTATTCTGTTATATGTATGTGTTCTGTGTTTTGTTATAAATGTTATACAATAAATGTCATACAATAATTATTTACAATGAGCTTAGCACTTATACGATTCAATGAAGTTAAAAGATTATGCAATAAAACCGTCATTGCTTTAACGATATAATAAAATTTAATGAGTAAAGTTATTAACTCTGTTATATTATTAAAAATCTAATAATATACATATATAGTTTTTTAAATATCTGAAATGTCTAGTTTGTATCTATAATAAAAATGTAAGATAAAACGGCCAATGGTTACCATTGCGTGCACTTTTATTATGTATGCGTTTAATCGATCGCTTCACTACAGCGGTAGTCGAAACTGTCACATATGTTGTGGATCCATTATTTTATAGATTTTTGACATATTCTTTTTTTTTAATAGTTAGTCTCAATGTTTTCAGTGTTAATTTATTATATTATATCCGGTTTTATGTCATCTATATACATTTTTTCACTTGAACTTTGATTAATGTGTTTTTTATATCTTCAACTGAGAAAGACTCCGTGAGTCGAACGTCTTGATTTTATTTTATTTTATTTTATCTTAATTTAACGTCCCGACATTAAACTACTTTTTTATTAACTCGTGGTTGTTGATTTCGCATCATTTTTTCCTTTGCTCGTTCTTGGCCGTTTTATCTTACATATTTTTTTAATTTTTAAATAATTTTATTGCTATCCACTATAATAACTAATTAATAAATAGTAAAAATGACATTGAGCGATTATTAATTTCTTTTTAGAATTAATTTCAGAAGAAAGTAAATTAATTTTATTTTAATAATCTATTTCTCTCTTTATTAATTTCTGTATATTATTTAAATTCTGCATATATTTATAATTAATACACTATATATTTTTTTAACACATACGCACATACATGCACACGGGCGCGCGCGCATTTCACACTATTTGATTTAGTATCATTTCGTTCATTTATTAGAATAACTGTAACACGCTCTATTTATGAAGCAGTAGAGTGACGTTTGAATCGTATTCAGAATCTCGATGGGAGACCCGGATATTTCTGGCAAAATGGTTGAACACAACATGAAGGTAAGTGCAAAAATAACTATGTAGTAATCTATTAGTGCACGGAAAGAACAATTTTGCTGAATCTAGATCTGAAAATAATTTTTGTTTAATAGTCAAAATAATTTTGTGTGAAAGTTAAAGTGATTGCTAGAATATTAAAACGTTTTATAGCTTATCGTTATATATTAACGTTATATAATGCTTATCAGTTTTAATGTTCCAACAAATTATTTTGATTCAACGAAAAATTATTTTCAGATCTATTTTTAGCAAAATTTTAGACTTTTCAACAAAATTGTTCTTTCCGTGTGGCTATCTAATATTTCATGTTACATAAAAAAAAACCATAAATGTATAATGATGTGAAACATATATATTGTTGAATGTTTTTGGTTCCATTCTTCACGAGCCCTCCCGGTATTTTTCGATATTATACCGAAAGATACCGGGAGGGTTCGTGAAGAACAGAACCAAGAATATACAACAGTATATTAAAAACACATAGTGTAAAGGCATTGTGATAAGCAATTAAAATAATCTGAAACAATTTAAATGTTTACAGAATTTCACTATGGAAAATGGCGTTTACAAAGGACCAATAAATCATAATTTGGGCAAATATAAGAGTGTCGGAGAAATGCTATGGACCAGCATTACAAATAATAGAGAGAAAATCGCACATGTGAGTCAATGTTTGTATGTAACATTAATATATAGAATTTATTAGAAAAATAGAGAGAGAGAGAGAGAGAGAGAGAGAAGTAAACTTTTAAAACTTATAACGTTTATCTAATTAAGAAAAAAAATTTAATAAAAATATAAAAATTCTTAAATTAAAAATACTGATATTAACGATAAATCTATCAAGGTACAAATATCTAAGATAAACAAGCAATGCTTACAATAAAAAAAGATTATTGCATGTATATACTAGAAAAGCAAAGATATTAATACTTTGATGGCTGCACGTTTCACACAAGTACTTATACCAACTTCCGGCGTTTTTACGCAGAGTCATTTATAGCGTAACAAAAACAAATATACTGAAGGAATAATTAAAACTACTTATTTTATTTATTTTGTTATTTTATAATAATAAAAATTATTTGATATATATAATTATTAAATAATACCAGAACAATTGTAAAATGCTAATTATAAGACTAAAGTGAAGCATGGAAGATTAAAAAATACCAGAATTGTAAAATTATAAGACAAATGTAAGCAAGAAACAAAACAACTGATATGTGAATTAGAAGAAGCGAATATCATAAACTACGCAAATAAAATCGATCAATAATCTTTAATTAGCGAAGTCATTGTACATAACAGCGGACGTCAAAGGCTGCGCTCGCTTTGGCGTTTACAGCGCTTACAGCATCATTTTTTTGCTGTTTGTATTTATTAGTGTTAAACAAGGACAAATGATGCTTATAAACGCTGTAAGCAAACGCAGTTAAATGTTACAGAATAAAACAGTAGAAAACATTTTTGAAAAAGTCGTTAAAATTTAATATTGACTTGCTTTATACGAGTACTTTATAGTACGTGTTTTTTATTACACATATTATAATGCTTTTTAAAAAATTTACTATCAAAACAATTTTTTATAATGTTATGTAATACTTATGCCAATGTATTACATACGTGCGTTAGCAGATATTAGACAGCATAAAATTTATTAAACATAAAAACATAAAGACATGAATACATACAGACATGTAAAAAGAAAATGTTAATTTTAATATTGAAAAAAATTAAAATTAGTCATAACACTAACAATAACATTAGCAACAATAAATTCGTTTGTTTTAAACTTAATTACAGACGGTATTATTATAGCAATAAATATCTTGAAACTATTAATTCGAAAAATTTTTTATAATACAATTACATAATAGACGTTTCTAAAAAATAGAACTAACTTAAAGGAAATAAAAACAAATTTACATAAACTCTTTAAAAATTGAATTAAATGAATTTTAAAAATCTTCGCGATTATGCATAATTTTTGTTAAATTTAATTTTGCTTTGCAATTAGTAAAAAAAATGTTGTGGAATTATTCTTTTAATCGCGACCTAATAACTCTGCAGTATAATTAATTTCTTGTGCATAATATTTGAAATATTTTTTAATATTAATAATGTGCAGTTGGATGCACGCACTGACGAAACGGTCACATACGCGGAGCTGCAAGACAAGATTGTGCGATGCGCTTTGTGGCTGCAGAAACAAGGAATCACATCTGACGATGTTATCTCTATATGCACGGATAATCATTTTAACTCCATTGTGCCGTGTCTTTCGACAGCTTATATTAACGCAATCTTCAATGTCTGGAACGACAACATGAGTTTGTGTAAGTTGTCTGTGCAATTATCAAATAATCTATGTTGTATTTAGTTAAATTAGTAGATTAGAAATAATGCAAATTCAATAGCAGTGCATGAGAATACAATTTTATTTACCTTGCGATAATTGAACATAATTTGTTTATTATATTTGATTGTAAAATGATATTTAAAATAGTATTAATTATGTAATAGTACTAATTATGAGATATTTGTCATCAGCAACTGCACTGTACTTTTTGCAACTAATAACGCCGAAGGTGATCTTCTGCAACGAGAAATCCGTGAGTGTGATCTTAAGTGCAATAAAAGAGGCGAATTATAGTTCAACTACTGTCGTGGTTTTCGGTAAGCATGTCGGTGCGATTTCATTCTCGGATATTCTAAAAGATTTCAACAATATGGAAGTAGCAAATTTTCGTTACGTCGAGCTTGACGACATCAAAAAGACGGCGTGCATCTTGCACTCGTCGGGTACTACGGGGATGCCAAAGGGCGTCGAACTGTCCCACTATGCCATACTGAGCCTCAGCCAGGAAGAAAAATTAAACATGACTGACGTGCCATCACTTTGGTTTTCTACTCTTTTCTGGCTGACTGGAATAATGATGAATTTTAGTACGATCTTGCGAGGCAGCAAAGTGATTCTCTATCCAGAATTTAACGAGGAGATGACCTGTCGACTGATAGAGAAATATAAAGTAATATATTATATACACATAGAAAGTTTTTATCTTTCTTTCTTTTGTTGAATAATTAAAGCGGAAATATTTTAATTTATAAAAAATTTTATATTTTAAAAATAACTAAACGATTCTCGCTGATATAAATAAGTAAAAAAAAAGCTTTTCCCGCTATAAATTAATTATCACATTGACTTATAGAGCTCTTATTCTCTCGCAAATTCTCTGATAAAGTTAATGTAAATTGATTTTCTTGAAGCGCATATATACTATATGTTTTTAAATTAAGCCAATAATTGATGTAATAATTTACTAAAAACAATAATGCTATTAATTTTTGTCAAATCAAAATTTTTTATTTAACGGCGTGCATTTGTAAGGAAATAAATTTTGATGAATTAATATTAAATTGAATATGATAACTCGCAGCCAAGATAAGAGCAAATTATAGATAAGAAAGAATATATTATAATCGCGTTTCATAATGATATCTATTTATTTATATAAATTGTATAATTAAGTTTTAGTTTTAATTAAAGCAAGTTATTGATTATTTGTAAATAATTCATAATAGAAGCCAAACGTATCAAATATATATTTTATTATCTAGGTACAAACCATTTTTCTTAGCACAAAAATAATCGTTTCTAAAAAATATATTATAGTCGTAATCTCAGTATCGATTTGTTATTTTAAATTGCATTTAAATTATATTTAAATTATATTTTTAAAATCTAAAAGTGTAAATAATTTGTTTTCTACTCAGGTAGCAATTGTTTTCCTTAGTGTGAGCATGGTAAATCGGCTTGTCAAAGCAGGTTATGTAAAGAAATATTCTTTATCATCTTTGAAGCTTATAATGTGCGGTGGTGCAATTATTAAATCAGAAGTGCATGAAGAACTGAGAAATATTTTACCACATGTTCATATATTGCATGGTTATGGTAAATATTGTTATAATGCGATAAAATATGAGCATATATAAATGTACATGTACATATGTAGTATATAAAATTTCGATTATATTTCTTGTGTCTTTAGGACTGACGGAAGCATGTGGTATCGTAACGGTACAACTACCGTACCACAAAAGTGGATCTTGCGGGACAGTAGTAAAGAACGTGCAAATAAAGATTGTAGACCCTGAAAGTGGTAAAGTACTTGGTCCGAATCAATCGGGAGAAATATGGATAAAAACTGCAATCATAATGACTGGTTATTATAAAAATCCTGAGGCGACAAAAAATACGATTGATGAGGAAGGTAAGGATATTTTATATGTCATAATAATAACAATAATATAATTATATTAGATTAAAAAAAATTAATTACGACTTAACGATTCGAACTGAATAAATTATATGCTGTTAAGTCGAGAAGAACATATCTAACTTTAATATGAAATCTAATTGGGACCACGAAAGTTCAAAGATGAAACGTCAAATGCAATCGAAAGCGGATCTTGGTGCTTATAATAATATTTTTTTGTAACTCTTACAATTTCCAGTTCAAGTAAACCGCACGCTGAATATTTTGTCGGTCTTGAAACACAGGTCCAAACTGAATCAGGACTACGTAATATCACAAATTATTAAATTGAAAAGCAATTTAATAATTTTTAAAAACATATTTAATCTTTGAAAATCGAATATCATAAAAATAAATTTTTTAAATACTTATAGGATGGTTTCACTCGGGTGATATTGGTTATATAGATGAGGACGGGGAATTGTTCATTATCGACAGAATAAAGGAACTTATAAAATACAGAGGAATTCAGATCTCTCCCGGAGAAATCGAGAATGTTTTAATATCGCATCCAGCAGTACTAGAAGCTGCAGTAGTAAGGATACCTCATCCATTAGATGATGAACACCCTCTTGCTTACGTCACCAAGAAGTCTGGCTACGAGGTACAATCTTTTATCATAAATATGATAAAGTCATAGAATAAAGATTTACAAAATTAAATTAGAATATTATTAACAGAATAGCGAACCAATTTTGAATATTTTGTAAAATATCCAAATATTTAGCATAGATTGAAATTTACACTTACAAAAATAGACGTGATGCGATTAAAACAATTAAAAAAGCAAATGGAAAAATTTTAAATATAAATAAAATAAATTAAATGGCTCCGAGATAAAATCAAATCCAACTTAAAATTGCCAATACGAGCCGTCGCGTTAGTAAGTCCGATGTATAAAATTAAACACATATGAACAATACATTTATACTTAATAGCGAGAAATTTTATAGATGTTTCAATCCTACTTTTGTGGATTTTCTTCAGCGTATAGAAACGCAATAACGATAAAAAGATTGGTTATAGATTGGTGATAAAACAGTGACATATAATTATACTGACACTTAATATTGATATACCTCTTCTTACGAAAACTTATGTATATGCATGGATTATTGAAAAAATAAAAAGATACTTAATTATATTGACACTATGCATCGACAGTAGTCATAATGTTTTATTTCATGTTTTTTTTTTACCGCTCGGCTTGACATATTTCTTCTGACAAGAACTTATGTACATGCATGAACGATTGAAAAAATGAAAGAATATATAGTCATTATTCACAAAACCAATCTTTTGATCATTACTGCATTTTTATACACTAAAAATGATTCAAAAGTAGGATCGAAATGTAAAATTTTTCGTTACATTAAAATGTTAATTCTTAAAACAGAAATAGAAAATATTTTTTGCGTATTAGAATGTATTGTTTCTGCACTATATTTTAATTTTCTTTTCACAGGTCACGGAAAAAGAGTTGATAGACTTTGTAGCGAAGAACATGATAGATCACTACAAACTACGTGCAGGAGTTATATTTTTGGATAGTTTTCCATATACAGGTTCAGGGAAAATTTCGAGAAAAGATTTAAGAGAATTGACTAAAAAATTGATTAAATAATTATATAATTATATTCTTTCATATCTATTAACAAATTTATAATTATACATTTTTATTTCAAAATGTTAGATATTAGAAATGTTTATTGTTCTTTAAATAAAAAATTCTTGTAAATATTAATTAATACAGATACACAATCTTTAGGTATAAATCTTTATTGAAAAATGTGTTCTAAGAATCAAAATTATTTATTTAAATATCTGTGTTATTCAATATTTAAAAATATATAAAAAAGAAATGAGTAAATAAAATATTCGACAAATTTGATGTATTTGATAAATACAAGATTCCATGACTTTATTAGCGTAATACTATAATACATTAATTTATTAGCGTAAATACTGTATTATTATAATACATATTAGTAAGATTTAAAAGAATAAATATTTAATAAAAATGTATTTTATCTTGATGGTAATACTATTTTGATAAAAATTACTATCCAGATAACACACAGAGTTCAAGAAAAATTCATTCGTATATTTAATCGTATATCATCTATATTCCAAGTTCATTTTTAAATGCAAAAAAATCTTTTTTCAAAACTTTTAGAAAAAGAATTATTTTTGCATCTGAAAATGAACCCAGAATTAATGACATATGACTGAGTTCTTTTTTAACTGTCCGTACTATCTGGATATACCATAAAGCTGAATTGTTAAATGTAAAGTTTCGGAACAAAGTTTTGAATCTTATCAAAATCAAATAAGTACATATTAGACATAAACTTTCTTTGGAATATTTTTGTCTCTGTAAAAAGAAATCCATAATCTTTTTTGTTGTCAGTAATATTAAGAAGCAACCAAAAGCCAGCTATTCTCATTGCAACATAGTTGAGACGATAAGCATATCATAAACGACTAACCTACATCAACTGATTGACGTAGATGCTAAAATCCTACACTATAAATATCATAATTTATTAAATTATAATTTATACTGTTTCACTGATCGAAGTGTGTGTTTATTTTAAACTAAACTATTAAATTCTATTAAAAAGTTTAATTTAAAATAAAAATCGATTTATTTAAAATAAACTAAAATTTGTTAAAACTTTTTTTTGTATTTTTAATAATATTTTTTTTTTAAATTGATATCAATAAACTGATAATTATATTACATAATTTAGGTACACATTTTAGTATTTCATATATCTATCATATATAATTACGAAGATTTGATGTAATATTTTACTTGTACCACTTTATTCTTATCATTTATCAAAATGTACGGAGTATACCTGCTATATATTTCATTCGCAAAATGAGTTTAATTCTACACACATTTAATCCTACATGCTTCCAGATATCTCGTTAAATATTATGCAATCTTCTTATCTTCATATATGATCTGTATATATATATATGTATGTATATATATTTTTAATTTCAAAACTTGATTTCTTAATTCATAAAATTATAAAAATTAAAAGTCTCTGTCAAAAAGAATCAAGCTTTAAAAGTATAAACAAAAATATTTTTACTAAATATTACAAAAATATTAAATATTAAATATTATAGTTTTGACGAACACTAACAAAATTTAAATATTTATTAGGAAAATATATAAAATATTGCGGAAGCTTACAGAAAGATGGTAAATTAAGTTTTTCTTTAAATTCTGACGTGGAAAATATATCAAATGATATAGCATTAAAAGCACAACTCTGAATAACTCCAGAAACATTTTCTGTTTTTCTAAGATAACGTCGTGAAATAACGAATACCATGATTGATTCTTAAACACTGACACAGCACATTTATGATGTACGCAACACAAGTTTTACATCGTTTGGTAAAGAGAGGGATATCATAGATATCTAGAAATATCTTATATATACGATGAGTCAGTATAAATGCTTGCAGTCTACTTTTAACAACGAATCATAAGTGCATCATTATTCATTTGTCTGTTGAACGCTCATCGGAGAGGCTGAGTTTCGCGTAGTGCTAAAACCTCTATTCACTGGATACTGTATCTTTTCTTTTGTTGTAATCGATTTTTACATAAATTTCAGCATTCTATTTTATTATATATTGCTACGGATGCTTTAATATTTGACGAAGCCGACGAAGGTACTGTGACATTTTCTTTCTATAAGTTTAAATTTCTCTTATATATAAACATGATAATTTATCGTGTCTCTATCTATATTATTTATTTATTATGTTTATAATAATTTACTAAAATTGGCAGCCGTGTTTAGTAATAAATACTTTCAGCAGTTACTTTTTTAATAACTATTTTTATTTATTTTTTTTAGTATTTTAATAATTTAATCTTATATATATATATATATATATATATGTGTATATATAATTAGCTAAATTTAAACCTTATAATATTTCAAAAACTATTGCTTAAAATAAAAATTTACAAATAAGTTTTTAACATAATTTTTTGAAGACTTTCTTGCTATGATATTTTGATTCGCGAATTTCGGGACACTCTGTACATAAAATTATTAAATAAAATAAATAATAATATTAAAATGTTATCTTTTTTAAAAAATTTAAATATTAAAATGTAAAATTCTAATATTTAATTTTTAATCTTGTCATAAGTATTATTTCATCATAAGTATATTTGCTGAATCAGATTACAACCAAACGAGTTCCTGCTCTTGTAATCAGTCTCAAGATCAGTTGAGTCTATCGTAAGTGCTCTTTTTTGTTATTGGTAAGTCTAAGATCAGTTTTTCAAACATTTAATTCTTTATGCTCCCAGACATCTCGTTAAGTAATAATGTTATGCAATTCTCTTATCTTTGTATATGATCTATATATACATATCTATCTATATATATGTTTTTTTTGTATGTAAATAACAAAATTATACAACTAAATAAAAATAAAAGATTATGTAATAGTAAAACCATTATCGCTTTGATAGCGCAATAATATTTAATTTTAGTAAAACAGTTTGTAGATTTAACTATTGGTGATAAATAAGACTAATGTTTTTAAACAATTGGTATCTTTAATATCTAATAACTGATAAATTATACTATATGATAATAAACACTTTTTTGCATGCTAGAAGATATTAATAAATAATATAAATGACATTGACCGTTGTATTGGAATCATTTTAATTACAATTTAAAAGAAGAAATCATTTATCTTTTTATATAACACACATCTTGATAGTTAATTTCAGTTAATTTAATGTATATACTTAGAATAATTATGAAACGCTTTATGTATAATGCAGTATTCTAGAGTGACACTGTTGGATCGCATTCAGAATCCCACATTTACAATCTAGACCTGAATATTTCTGCCAAAATGGTTGAAAACAATTTGAAGGTAAGTGCTAAAGCAACCGTATACTGATCTCTTTGCTTGACATTTCACTGTTACATCTAAAAGAAACCGTAAAAGTATTATTGATATGAGACGTATTAAAAATACATAGCGCAAAGACATTACGATAAATAATTAAAATTGTCATGCTCATTTGTTATATGTAGGATTTTACCGTGGAAAATGGTATTTACAAGGGGCAAGTGAAGGATAATGTGAATAATTACAAAAGTCTTGGAGAATTGATATGGGTTAGCCTCAAAAGACATGGAGACAAAATCGCATACGTGAGTAAAAGAAATAACAATTTGGAATAATTGCAAGATCAATCCTAACACCAGCAATAATCTGTTTTACTTAATTATCTTGAATATTGTTATATAACACTGTCTTGTTTTAAATCTTATTGCGAAAAATAATTAATAGATGAATGCAATAAATTTTAACGCACGCGGAAGGTAATGAATATGGATGAATGCAATAAATAATACTTTGAGATTACCATCCGAGACATGATTTAATACACGTTTCTAAAAGAAAAAAACCTGCACTGTAGGACATAAAAACAAATTTAGATAAAATTGTTTAAAAACTGATAATAAATAATTGCAGCTGCACAATGCTTAAATTTTATTTAGTTTTAGTAAAAAAATAAATGTTTTAGAATTGCAAATATAACTAACTTTTTGTGGCCTTCAAATATTTTTTATAATAATAACTGTGTAGTTAGATGCACGCACTGATGAAACGATCACTTACGCGGAGCTGCATGATAGAGTTGTGAGATGCGCCTTGTGGCTGCAAAAACAAGGAATCAAATCCGGTGATATTATCAGTATGTGCACGGGTAATCATCTCAACTCTGTCGTACCCTGCCTTTCGACAGCTTATATTAATGCGATCTTCAATACATGGAACGAGAACATGGACTTACGTAAGCTCTTCCACGATAATCATTATCAAATGTTTCCAGATATACAGGGTGTCAAAACTCTTAATTAATATTTTAAGTGAAAGAGACATGAAATTTTGAATTAAAAGTCCTTGTATCAATTTTGGCTTAGATCATTATTTACAGAATTATTAACGAATAAAGTTAATCAATCAGATGGCGTTTAGCCGCAATACGAAGGAGCGTATCATGCCGTGCGGTTTTTCGCGCTTACTTCTCTCGATTAAGATTTTATTCTAAATTTATTAATAAATAAGTAAAAGTTCTAATAAGTTCCTGACCTTAAAACTTTTCCTCATTGAAATAAATAAATAATAAATAACAGTAAAAACAATTAGAAATTAGATAAATTTCTAACTGTAATTTATTCTTATTTATTTATTTGTGTGTTAATTTATTTATTTATTTACCTATCTTATTTATTGATTTATTTATTTGCTTATTTATTAATATTAAAAATTAGAATGAAATTTTAATCAAGAGAAGTAAGCGCGAAGAGCAGCATGCTTCGCTCCTTCGTGCTTCGTCTAAGCGCAATCTAATTGATTAACTTAATTTGTTAATAACTCTGTAAATAATGGTTTGAGCCAAAATTGATACAGGAACTTTTAGTTCAAAATTTCATTTTTTTTTACGCCTTCAAATATTAATTAAGAGTTTTGGGACACCCTGTACGTTATATTAATATAGAGGGAGTTCCCCTAACGACAGACGGCACCTATTATCGGACATTAGCTATATCTGTAATAGTTGAATCGCTACTGAGCTGTTTTTCCGCGTAAATCGTAAATGGAATTCCCCTCAGGCTCAGTAGCGATTCAACTATGACAGATATATGCTAATATCCGGTATTAGGTGCCGTCCGTAGGAAAACTCCCTCTATTCAATTAAATTAGAAATAATATTATTATATTAATAGACTTTAATTAGATTAATGCAATTAAAAATAATGCATTATCAATAACAATAATTTAATTTGATCTATTTAGTATAATTAATTAGATAGTTTGATTGTACTACATTATTTAGCATATTGTTTATCTTTTTATTATTTATAAGCTATTTGTTATTAGAAACTACTCTCTACTTTTTGCAAATGATGACGCCAAAGATAATCTTCTGTAGCGAAAAATCCGTGGATGTTGTCTTGAGCGCAATAAAAGAGAAGAATTATAATGCGACGGTGGTAGTTTTCGGCAAGCATACCGGCGCGATTTCGTTCTCTGATATTTTGAGAAATTGCAATGATACAGAAGTGACAAATTTCCGTTACATCGAGCTTGACGACATCAAAAAGACGGCGTGCATCTTGCACTCGTCGGGTACTACGGGGATGCCGAAGGGCGTCGAACTGTCCAACTGCGCTGTATTAATTGTCAGCCAACAAATCACCACGAACACGGCCAACGTACCATCAATTTGGTTCTCTACTCTTTTTTGGATAACTGGACTATTCATGAACTTTAGTGGGATTGTGCAAGGCACCAAAGCAATCATCTATCCGGAATTTGAAGAGGAGATGACTTGCCGATTAATTGAGAAATATAAAGTAATATTATTTTATTTATAGAAATGTCTTTTTATCGAATAATTGAAGTAAAAGAATTTTAATTTTTTAATTTCTTATTTTAAAAAGCTAAATAACTAAAAAACATTATCATGTCGATATCAATTTTCCGTTATAGATAAGTCTCATATATAAGTATGTAATGATTTAGCTTTTACTCTATTGTGAATTCTATGATAAAGTTGAATCAATTTCTTTCAAGCACATTGTAATGTTTGTAATTTAAGATAATGATAACTTGCAATAAAATATATTATGATCATAGTTATAATAACAGCAATGCAATTAATTTTCTTCAATACTTGTACATTTGAGGATAATAAATTGCATTTTAATAAATTACGTATGTTAATATTTTGCAATCAAAATAAATGCAAATTGTAAAAAAGAATGTATCACAATCACGCATCCATTTATTAATTTTGCATAATTAATTTGATATTTTATCTTTGATGTATAGATTTTTATATCTGAACATAATATGAAAGAAAAATATAAATTATTTTACTGTTCAGATACAAGTTGCTTTCTTTAGTACGAGCATAATCAGTCGATTACTCAAATCGGGTTGCGTACAAAAATATCCATTGTCATCTTTGAAAACCATACTAGCCGGTGGTACATCAATTATGTCGACCGTGCAGGAAGAAATGAAACGTATTTTGCCACATGTCCAAATATTGCAATGTTACGGTAAATATCATCATTAAAAATAATTGCGATAAAATATTAGTATTTTATAAGGTATGTTAATTTATATATTGTAAAATTTCGTCTATATACTTTGTGTTTTTAGGAATGACAGAACTTGGCAACGTCGGAGCCATGCAACTACCGAATCACAAAAAGAATGGATCTTGTGGAATAGTAGCTCAGAATGTACAAATGAAAATTGTGGATCCAGAAAGCGGAAAAATACTTGATCCGAATCAGCCGGGAGAAATATGTATGAAAATTCCAAGCTTAATGAATGGTTATTACAAAAATCCCGAGGCGACAAAAAATACGATTGATAAGGAAGGTAGAGAAATTGCTTCTATCATAATAGTAATAAAAAATTATATTAAAGAAGACTAATCAGGATTATTAATTAACGCGTGCAAACTATACCTATAAATAGTATTCTATTAACTTCACAAAGAACATATTAGATATTATTAGATAATATCACAAAAATCTAATAGTATAAAAGCATAAGAATTAATTTTTTGAACATTTATAGGATGGCTGCATTCAGGTGATATTGGTTATATAGATGAAGACGGAGAATTATTTATTATAGACAGACTAAAGGATCTTATAAAGTACAGAGGATATCAAATCTTTCCCGGAGAGATCGAGAATGTCTTGTTGTCACATCCAGCAGTACTAGAAACTGCAGTAATAGGAGTACCTCATGCAATAGATGATGAACATCCTCTTGCTTTCATTACCAAGCGGCCTGGCGCAAAGGTTTAATTATTTGTGTTAAAAATATATCGAAATCGTAGAACAAAAGTTAATACAATGAAATCTGTTCTATACCAACAGGATATTGTAAATTGATTTTGCATACTACGAGATATCTTTTTAACAATTTTATAAATAGGATATTGTTTTCATAGGGACATTGTTTTAGAGGCACGATAAAACAATTAACAAGACGTGAAAAAATCTGCACATTAATATGGTCAAGATGTTTTAATATTTCCAATATAGAATCAACATATAAATTTCTATTGATTTATTTCACAATAAATTAAATTATTGCGTTGAGAGAATCTCATTATGGATATACAATACTTTTTAGCATAGAATAGAGAAATATTTGTTATGTAGTAAGATAGCAACTTTCTGCAATAGTTAATTTTTTTTGTACAGGTGACGGAACAGGAATTAATAGATCTTGTGGCGAAGAACATGATGGATCATTTTAAACTACGTGCAGGAGTAATATTTTTAGACAGTTTTCCATATACGGCTACAGGAAAAATTTCTAAAAAAAATTTGAAAGAAATGACAAAGGATCTTATAATAAAACACAATGATTAATTGATTAAATTTTTCCACAATAATGTAAAATTTATAACTTGCGTTATATGTACGAAATGTGCATTATATCAGAATTAATAGATATTATAAATATAAGGTATTATTAGTTATTAAAATATCTTTTTTGTCCATTTACAAAAAAATAGTTTTATTTTAATTAACAAAGTTACATAATCTATTTATATTGTAAGTCTTGTCTAAAAACTAATTTTAAGAATTAACACAGCAAAATTTTTTTTTTTAATATTTGTATGTACATTATTTAAAAATATAATACATAAAGAAAGAAAAATAAAAACATCTTGATCTGATCTGAAGTATCATAGAAATTGGATTTCTTGATGATTTATTTGTATTAAAAATTATGCACACATATTAAAATTCGAAAAAAGCTATTTAATAAAATTTTATATTTTAACTTGATAATAACATTTTATTGAAAATTATTATGATTTAAATGCGAATCGTTGTACTAAATGTTATAGCGCAGAAGAATATATTATTATAAAACAATGTTTTTAATTAATTAATTAAATTTTGTGTATTCATTGTTGTCGATATATCAAAATTAAATTATATTAATATGAATTTTCTTTTGGATATCCGCGAGCCTTTACTTCTTTAAACATAGCTATAAGAGAATCCATAGTTTCTTCTCCAGTTGGAATAATTTGATTAGGAGGCAGTAAGAAGCCATATCGACCGCGATCGCGTAATTCGTAAGTATACGCGATAGGCTTATGATAAACGCCTTTAATATAGTCCACAGTAACTCCAGTGCACACGTCTAGAAATAAATTTGCAATGTTCATATGTGTAAAAAATTTAAACTTTTTTAGTGCAAGTGTACTAGATAAACCAAATAAAAAAATATATATATTTAAATCAAACTTACAAATTGTCTCAGCAACATTTCCGACTCGATACTCAGTTCCATATCTCTGTTTAAGTGTTGCAGCTGATTTCAAACCAATAGCATGCTAAAATCATATTGCACCAAAAATATTAATATAATAAAAATACTTATTATATTACATATTATGTATAAATAATAAGATAAATTAATATAAAACAATTAAATTAAAAGTGCGTTTAATATACCTGCTTAACTATACATGTACATATTAATTGTATATTATAATATTAATTATATCTTACACACACACACACACACACACACACACGCGCGCGCGCGCGCGCGCGCATGTATAAACATGTATTAAACGTTATGTAAGGATCTATTATATAATACATATATGTTAAAATTTATTATATAATAATAATAAAAATTGTTTTGCATTGTGTATTTATAATTTCTTTAATAAATTGCATCTATTCTAATTAATGTATGTATGTTGATGATTAAATACAAAGATAATAAGTTAGCTATTGTGCATATTATTTTCAGAAATGTTATTTTTCTTTGTTATTATCAATATTTTTCCAAAATTATATCTTTCTATCAATATAACTTCTTACCAAATCCTCATGATTATCAAGATGCTCTTTCGTGTAACCGTAAGGATACATCAAAAGTTGCGAATAACTGTGAAACGAGATGTATGCGTAAAATTTGTCGGAAATAGACTTGATATATTCGGACATGCTCTTTGTCTCTATCTCGGAAAACGGCTTACTTCCTGCGTAAATCTCAGAACATGGAAAGGCGGTAAAACCTTTAGCTAAAAATGATGAATTGTAATACTGTTAATTAATATTAGATCATATTTTTTTTATATACAAACTTTTGACTATTACATTATTATAACGGTAATTGTTATATTTCCCTGTTTGGGAATATTAGTACTTACACACCCACTTGTAGCTCCAGTTTCTGTTAGCATCAGCTCCGACGCAGAGGCCGTACGGTTTACGCGTTTTTCTCCATAACCGATTCTGAAAGCAGTTCGGCTTATATATATAATTTCAATTTATAACTTAGTAGACTTTATGTAATAATATAAAAAAGAATTTACTCTGGTGTGCGTGTACGCATATCCATCGGGATTGAACGAAGGGAAGATGTACCAATCGTGGCTCTCAGCTAGATCTCTGACGTCCAGGTCCTCGCTGGTCAGCAATTGATGAAGGATGTACATGACAGTTGCCGGCGAGATCCATTCCCTGGCGTGAATGCCCCCTTCGATAAAGATTCCTGGATTGTTAGATTTAAAGGAAACTTTGACGCCTTTAATCTGACGTCCCTCATACGATCTACCACCCACGATAACCTGTATTTTATCGGGATATTGCTTGGCCAAATCATCTAGGTTCTTATAGATTTCCTCGAGAGTATGGTAGCTGTTGAAATCAAATGAGGTTGATCGACTCTCAGGCGTTGTTTGATCAATCAACTTTTGCACATCCTCGATAAAAACTTGATAAGGTATTCCGATCTGAGTCATCATTTCGTAAAATTCAGGCAACTTGTGCGGAGCTACCATGAGATCCACATTTCTGCCTACAAAGCTGGGTTCTTGCCAGAATGAGAACTGAAAACAACATTTAATTTTATATATGCATCTATAAAATTTTTATTAAAAAATTGTAATTATTGTCTTGTAGTGTAAAAGATCTTGCAGATTTTTCAAATTTATTTATAATTTGATAAACTTTAATTAATAAATAAAAATATAAATTTCTAAAATCAATTTTTATATATATTAAAAATTTTAAATAATCAAATAAGTTTAGATAATAATAATGTTTCGACAAGATTAAGTATATAATTCTATACGGATACAGTTCTTTCTTATATTTGTACTTGAAAGAATCCACTTACTCCATCAGGAATCGCTTCCAATAAATGTAATTTATTGACTTGCGCTTCTGTAGTAGGAATAATTCTAAAGACCTTGTAATTATTAAAAGTAGCTTTTTGAGCGGCTGCTAACCACACGATCATGCACAACACTATTATTTTTGACATGGTGATCCTGTACCTTTTAATACATAAATTAATTTATTATATTAATTTATTAATTTATAATAATTGCAATTATTAATACATCTTTAATTGTTTCAGAAATTGCGATATTTGCAAAACAAAATTTTAATTTATATGTTAATAAATATCACTAATTAATTAACTTTTTAATTACTTTATTCTTATTATTTAATATATAGAAATCTCTTTCAATAAGATATGCATACATGCACGTCTTAACTTTTACAAAACGAAGAATTTGTGATTGTGCTGTAGCTCGTTCATTATATTTAAACATTGTGTGCACACGACACCAACAAATATCAGAAACATCATTTGAGAAAAAGAATCACGTTGATAGATCTACCGAAGAAAGATTATATCGGGTTTTACCACATGTTTATCAAATTAGTTCCGAAAGAATCTCATACTCTACTATCGCTTTTTGTCAAATTATCGAGGAATGACTACTAAAAATATATTTATTTTTAGGTATATATAGATTCATATAAGGTTATTGTATTAAAACCATGTTTAATTTGTATTTTCACACAATTATTTATATATATTTATATGTTTTTACGAAGATGCATTATCAATTTGTCATCTTTATCTTTGTCGATTACTACGCGACTGATAGCTCCACTTTTAATCACATCGTAAGTATTTATATCACACCAACAAAAGCTAATTTAAACAAGCAAGTCATTAATATAATATAAATAAAGAAAATAAATTTAATTTAATTAACTAAAATAAAATATGTAAAAGAAAAACTATAAAAAAATTAAGTTTGAGTTTATTCTAAAATAATTGAATACAGATAATTTCAGTTATGTAAACAAAACATAAGAAATACAAAACACGATGCATAACTGAAAAGCAAAATATTACAATTTATTATAGATAATAATTATAATGCAGCAGATAAAGCAAATAGAAACGAATCAAATAAAAAACCATGATCTACAGAAATATTTGTATATTCTATTAAATTTAGTCATCTTTAAATATATTTAATGTTTTTATTAATATTTACTTATTATTATTAATAATGTATATTTTCTGTTTATTACATGATAAATAATTTATCGTCTCACGAATACTAAATCTATGTTTAATTTTATAGTTTTCACATCCTATTGTTTTAAAATCCAATGATTATATATTATGTTTATTTGCGCCTTACATTATCTGTTTTTAAAGCTGGTTACACGGAGTGACTTTTAGTGCGTTTTGAGCAAGTTTCTTAATTCGTTAGCAAACTCTCTGATAAAAATTTCTTCCAGTCGCTCGTTTTCTATTCACTAGCGTTTAAAATGTTGAAATCGCAGAGACTAGTAGTCGCTGTGACAAAAAGATAAACATGACAATAGCATTTTTTGACGCTAGTTACTGGCTTCTTTTATTCTTCTTTTATTCTTCTTGCTCTTTCTAAATCTGGCTTTCTTCATTAGATGCTAGACGCGATTTCAAAATTTGAGACGCTAACAAACAGTAGTCGAGCGATTAGAAAAAGTTTTTACTAGCAAATTGAGAAGCTTACTCAAAACAAATAAAAGTCGCTCCGTTGCGCATGAGCAGTACGCTGAATTATTCGCTAGTCGCCCGCTGATTTATTTTCCACCGGAGCTTTTTTGATGCTGTCATCTTGACACGAAGCTTCTTTGGCACTACTACTAAATCGGTCAACTATTCGCTCAAAAAAATTGAATATGTTTAACTTTTGTCATTACAACCGCTAGACGCTGTGATTTCAAAATTTTAAACGAATTTTATTGAATTTAGAAATTCAATCTACTTGAATTATTTTTGGGATACCCAAGTGCCTTTGCCGCTTTAAACATAGCTACAAGAGAATCTAAAGTTTCTTCTCCAGTCGGGATAATCTGATCGGAAGGCAATAAGAAACCGTAACGACCGCGATCGCGCAATTCGTAAACATAGACAATGGGTATATGAAAAATGCCTTTGACATAATCCACAGAACCTCCACTAGCTATGCCTAAAAATAATTTTATAAGTGTTAAAAATAATATTTTTACGAGTACTTATTTTAATATTGCAATGCAAAAATATGGGATTAGCAGATTAAAATAATCTTTAAAATAACAAAGGAAAAGAAAATTGTTAATAACTTTAGTAAAAATCATTTAATATAATTAAAAACTGTTTGAGAATAAAATATACATATAAATAGACAAAAAAGAAAGAGAAAAACGGATAAGAAAGAAAAAGAAAGAGAAATATAAAATAAATAAAAATTTCTCTACTTACCAACCATTTCGGCAGTATTTCCAGTATAATATTCAGTTCCATATCTTTTATTGAGAGCTGCAATTGATTTCGAGGCAATGGCATACTGGAATTATAAAGATATATTATATAAACTTTTTAACGGAATAGTCAATCTTATTATATACAAAATAATAATAAACTTGATTGCTTTAAATATAAATTACAAAAAAATCGAATCAATTATGCTAATAATAAGTACGTAGAGAAAATTTTAAAATTTCCTTATTAATAATTCATTGACAATTATCACATTGACTTGTAATTTATTACATATAGTGAGTTCCACAATCTCAATCAATAATTTTATTATTTTAATTTTACAAAAACTATAAATGTTGCCTTACTATTAAAATTACTTACCAAATCTTGATAATTCTCAAGATGATCCTTTGTGTGGCCATAAGGAAACATCAAATATTGAGAATAACTGTGAAATGAGATATATGCGTAGAATTTGTCAGAAATGGATCTGATATATTGAGACATGCTTTTCGTTTCTATTTCGGAAAACGGCGCATCTCCAGCATAAATATCGGAACAAGGAGAATTGCTAGAGCCGCCAGCTAAAAAAGTCAAATTATATATATATAAAACATTAAAAACATCAATCTGATCTTAATCTCATAAGCTTTTCAAAGCCTAGAAAATAATTTCAACTTTTTATTAAATTTTATTTAAATTTTTATTATCTAGGACAGTTTTCTGATATAATACAAATATTCTTACTATTCCATTGGTAAGCCCAATTTCTGTTAGGGTCGCTGCCATAACACTTATTCGTGTACCGCTTACGTGTCTTTCTCCATAATCGGTTCTAAAATAAATTTTAAATATTCGTGTAATTAAGCATTAATTTATAAATTACTAAACAATGCACTGTGTAAGATAAAACGAAGCTTACCGTGGTGTGCGTGTACACGTATCCATCAGGATTGAACGATGGGAAGATATACCAATCGTGGCTCTCAGCCAGAGCTCTGACCTCCGGATTGTTGCTTGTCAGCAATTGATGAAGGATGTACATGACAGTTGCCGGCGAGATCCATTCCCTGGCATGAATGCCACCCTCGATAAAGATTCCAGGATTGTTGGGTTTAAAGGAAACCTTGACGCCTTTGATCGGACGTCCCTCGTACGACTTACCGCCCACGACAGTTTGTACTTTATCAGGATGCTTCTTTTCCAAGTCATCCATCTTTTTGTGAATTGTATCGAGAGTATGATAGCTTTTAAAATCAAATCTCGATGCACATGTGGACATTGTTCGATTGATTAATTCCTGAACATTCTCAATATAAATTTCATAGAGTGCTTGAATCTGCGTCATTATTTCGTGAAATTCGGACAGCTTATGCGGAGCTACCATAAGTTCCGCTACTTTATTTACGAACGGATCCTTCCAGAAGGAAAACTGTAAATAAAGTTTAATATTGTTTATTTAATAACCATTTATTTAGTAACTTTAAAAAATTAATTACATATTTATTATTCTTTATATTTTTAAAAATGTTGTATAATAAATAATTAGATAAATTTGTAGAAAAAATATTTTGCTAAAAGTGTAAAAATATTAATTTTTATCGTTATTTTATCCTTAATTTTATCCTTTATGCTTGAAAGACTACTCACTCCATCTGGTTTGTCTGTCAACTGGTTGAGCAATTCAGCTTGCTTCTTTGTAGTCGTGGCAATTTTGAAAACCTTGTAATTGTGAAAAGTAGCCTGGTCGGCGGTCACCAGGCTCATTGTGCACAATATTATTATCTTCCACATGATGATCACAGTTTCCTTTAATACGCAAATATTAGCTTTAGTTATCATTAAACTTTTTGCATCAGGATTATAATACTTTTCATCATATGAGAAGACATACCATGTTTACAAAATACAATTTAAATCTAGTCATCTAACCAAATCGTGATTTGAGCCACAAAACGTTTAATTCTTTTAATATAATTTATAAATAATGTTATTGAAGAAAATCGCTTACCTTTCTATAAAACGGAAACTCTGGCAAATATCGATATTACGATGATATTGATTTATAGTCATAAAAGTGGCATAAATTAAATTTATATTTTTAAAGTTAACATTATACACACAGTAAAATTTATTTACTTAATACGCTGCTCAATCACAGTTAGTATCTAATGCATATAAAGCATGTTTAAAATATAACTTTAATTTTTAATACACTCGGTTTCTTTAAGAGAACTGCTGACGACGCTTATCCGCCATTGACTATAAATGCGTACTTGCACGCGGCACCAAAGTTACATTATCTACTAATTGGCATTATCAAGTTAGGGTAAATTAACGTAGAATTTCTTCCTCAACTGAATACAAGTTTATATACATTATTATATAATTTAATTCTTTTATTATTATATTTACAAGGAAAGGAACTAAAGTGTCTCCTTCCAATTTTGATAAAGTTTAAATATGTTGTATTTTATAATTATAATAAAAAACATTTTTAATTATTTCTTTATATATCCTTACCACTTAACTTTTTTAAAATTTCGACTTTTTTATAATTAAATTAAAGGTACTTATTAACCCATGAAATTACGTACGGATAAATTTTTTCTATTTCTTATAGTTTTGATGATATTTGCTTCGAAAGAAAAAACTAATTTCGTATATAAAGAATATTTTACCTTTTAAAAGTGTGAGTACACATATAAAAAAAAATATGTCTCTTATTTTTATTTAAAAAAAACAACATATTCAAAGCACATTATAATTGGAGAAGGATATTTTGGTCTTTTCTTTTGTTCAAAAATGTAATATTTGTAATGTGAAAGAGCTCGGTATTAATATATATGTTTATTATAAAATTTTACCACTATTATATTTATAAAAATAACAAAATATTTTATGCAAAATAACTTGTGCTGCTAGACTACTAAATCGAAAATAATATGAAGAATACAACAAATATAACAAAGAAAATAACAAATATAATAAAAATATTATTGTAATTTAATTCAAATTTATTAATTTGTGACGAATAATAAAAGGAATTGATATTATTTAAATCAAATTTATTCTTTTTGTGATAATAAAGTGATACCAATTGTAATTGCTTATAAATCATCATACACACATTAAATTAATTTAATCATAAATCTATTTAAATTCGTTTAAATCTAAAACATTCTTAAATTTATTTCACACTTATATTTATTTTTATATCAAATTCGCTCTTCATTCACAAAGAGTGATACCCAAAAAATCGATTTTTAAGCCCTCGATTTCAGAACTAAACTGTATGCCAAATGGTATCTTATAATAAGACATTAATTACAGAGAAGTTTCAAGTTGAGGTAACATTTGTTATCAGAACTGAAGGGGGAGGGGAATCAAAATTTATTTTCGAATTTTAAGAAGACTCCAAAAAACGGGTACTCGATTTTTGGACCAAACTGTGTGCTAAATATTTTATAATGAGACATTAATCATAGAGAAATATCAAGTTGAAGTGACAATTGTTATCAGAGCTGGAGGGGGAAGAATCAAAGTTAATTATCACAGGTCTGCGAGATCCAGTATTTTAAGAAAGTTGATCAAGTCTATGAAGGGAAGATGAATGTACTTCCACATTTTACGTAGTCCGATCTCTCTTCTTTTCTTTACAACTCTACATGAAACATTTACATGCAAATTTATGCATGTTAGCAGCGCTAAGTTTTTTAACATATTTCATAAAGTCTATTAAATTTTGTTTGGATGTTGTTATATAAAATAATATAAATACACACACACACACACACACACACACACACACACACACACACACACACACACACACTTTTATAAAAAATAATAATTTTAATTGTTATTTATTTATTACTCTTAATAATGTATATTTTTTTGTTTTTTACATAATAAATAGTTAGTACCTAAGGAATACTCAATCTATGTTTGATTTTATAGTCTTTACATCTTATATATTATTAAAATTCAATGATTATATTATATTTATTTGCGTCTTGCATTATCAGTTTTATGGACTTATTGCTAAATCACTTAAATATTATACAACTAAAACCTCAACAACAATTTAATTGCTTCTGTAAAATACAAGAGAAATTGATCTGAGTGAATGAATAATTGAAAGAAATAAATTTTTATTTAAAGAATTTAAAAATAAGTCTCACAGATTAGTAATATATGTATAATTTCATCTACATTGGACATAAAAGATATTGTATATAATTCTCATTAAAATTTATTAGCAGCATTTGATTATAAATTTAAGACAAATCCGTAGTTAAATAAAAAATTATTTAAATAAAAATTTTACCGATTTGATATTACTTGACAACAATACAGGTTTATAATCTACACTGTTAAATCTATAACGTCAAACTGAACCTTATTTAAGTCACCACTGCTCTTACTTAATAAATAATTTTTTTTACTAAAACAATGGAATTACATAATTTAAAACAGTTCAAATTAATCCAAATTTGAGTTAAACTCCATTGTTTTATTTAAAAATAACTATATTAATTTAGTTTAAAAAATAACTATTTATTAAGAAGCAGCAGTGGCTACTTAAATAAGGTTCAGTTTGATACTATAGATTTAACAGTGTAATGAGTAATCAGTAATAATTTTCTTTGCATTTTTGCATACTCTCATCTTCTTAAATATAGCTACAGAGAAATCCATAGATTCTCTTCTCTAGTCGGAACAATAT